ACAGTCGGGCACGCGCTCAGCGTGCAACGAATTGGGAGCAACGCTGACGCCAATATCGGACGGCGTGCATACTATGTTATTCATCCCGTGGGCTGGTGAGACTCGCAGAGCATTCGGCACTCGTGCCACTGACCCACCAGGGGAAACATACATCTACACCGCCGGACACGGCACGAGCATTGCAAGTGCCGCACGCATAATGCGTGAGGACTTGGTCCGCCCAAGTTCTGTCAGCCATTGCTTCGACGACAAGTCCTATCCACCCATTCCCTCTTGCGTCATATACGGGAATGCGACCCCAGGAGATGTGTCGGAAGCACGGTACATATAGTTACCGATCAATGTACGCGGCGGCCCAAGGGCCAACAGGGAGTGATCGTCATTGGGACAATACGGACTAAGTATCAGCATTACAAGATGACGTATCGAGACATGTACAGAGAAGCCTTCATCGTGGGGCGAAAGGGTGTTGTGCGGACCCCGGAGAAGTGGGGATTCCACTCCGGGCACTTCAGCATCGTTGGATTCGGCCTTATTCAGTGATGTTGCTTCTCTTCTTTCTTTCTTCCGTGTCTTCCTGTAACCCTCTAGTACTTTTTCTTCCAGGCCTGAATCCCTGTACACATAGTTGTTTGCAATCAGGCATTTGCTCCGACCCCGCTTTTGAGCCAAAGAAGATTCGATGCAGCTGCATGCTGGATGCCCCGCACAAGTTGATGTGGACGCTCAAGCCAACCATGTTGCTCATGCATGTTCCATGTGCAGCTTTTACAGTCACAGGCAATTGTAGTGCCCCACTGTGCAACCATGTACAAGCCGACACAGCCTCAGTGGCATACAACAATGCCAACAGGCATCATCGGTACAGCAATCAGTACCATGCAGCGTCAAACAACCTCGACCAGCAGCACTCCATTACACCCCATCTCCCCACCACCAGGGATCCACAACATCCCACCACACACCTCATCGCTAGCCCCAACTACTTGGGGTTCAGCTCACACTTACAGCCACAACAACACATTCCCACCTTTCCCTCCACCCCCTCCCCCACCCCAACAGTTTCCCGGCCCAATTTCACCCACCACACTGCCAACCCTCACACCTGCCACTCCCCAACACACATTTGTGAGTCCATCTTCGATGACGACTCGAAACCCCAGCATTTCGTCACATACATTACCTCAGACCACCGCCGCAACCCAACAACAGCAACACCCCAATCCCACGCCTGCAAATCCCCAGATACCAAACGACTTCGTTCAAACACCAGAGCATTGGGACAACAGGCAGCTTTTTGGCCTCAACCTACCCAAACACATTCAATCTACACCACATTCAGTGCATAACCGCACAGCAGGCATGCCAATCGCAACAGCACCATTGGTCGC